GTCAATCGTGCCTGCCGTGGAGCTTCCCCAGGTGACAACAAGGCTGAGTATTTCACTGTCGCCACGGGGCATGATCTCGAAAGCTGCAAAGCCCTTTGCACAAGCACCGACGGCTGCAAAGGAATTGAGTTCCATGTTTCTGGACGGTGCGAACTTTGGACACGCCCGGAGGGCATAGCGGCCAGCGTTTCTCTCACAGACTACACTTGCCTGTGGTATGGCACGAAGGCCAAGGATTTTCTCCCTGTTGATGGCGGGGTAGACCGCTTTTGTCGAGGTGCGACTTCGACTGACAACAAAAACGATTACTTCATCATTATGCCCGGCTTGGACCTTGATGGCTGCAAGCAAGCTTGCCGAGACAACTTGCAGTGTGTTGGTGTGGAGCATGCAGGGACGCGTTGCGAGATCTGGACAAGAGCCGATGGCATCGAGGCGTCCGTCCCCGGAACAGGCTCGTCCTGCTGGAAGAAAGAGTTCTCGCACGCCGATGGAACAGGTGATCGCGCTTGCCGTGGTGCAGATGCTGGAGACAACAAGCCAACCTACTACAGTGTTCAGTCTTCCGTTCCAACGTTGGATGCTTGCAAAGACCACTGCAGGGCCACACCTGGATGCGTCGGAATCGAGCACATCAACACCCGCTGCGAGATTTGGACCAGACCCGAAGGGATTCAGGCCAGTGTGACACTGGTCGGATACACATGTTTGAAGTATCATGGGCCGGACGGAAGCGCCACCACAACGGCTGTGCCGACAACTCAGCCTCCAAGCCCGGTGTCGAGAACTCCCGCGACCGATGCTCAGTTCTTGATTCAGGCAACATTTGGCCCGACTCTCGCGAGCATTGAGGAGTTAGGAAAGACCACGTACGACAACTGGATCGATCAGCAAATGTCTTTGCCCATTACTTCACATCGGGAGTACTACCGCAAGCGTGTGAACCCACGTCCTGTGCGGAGCGCATCGGATCTCAATTCCGGCAGTCCACTCTCACGCTGTTCGGTTGGTTCCAGGTGGGTACGGCACGCCATTCTCAAGACCGATGTGAATCGGCGTATCCAAGTTTCCCGGGGGAAGATCAAGGTGGACGACCTCTTCCGCACAGATGTGGACCCCGCATACATTGGAAACGGCCTGAAGGCACCGCAGACCTGCACGGACCTTGCCCCGAAGAGCTGGCAGGATGACGGCTGGACTTGTGCATCACAGAGATGGCGGGTGGAGCGAGAATGCACCAAGGACAGGGATTGCGGGGGTTTGATCGGGTTCGCGGTGATCTCGTGAGGTGCTTCATAAAACAGTGCTGTGATCAGGACAAAGAGTGGATTGAAGACGGCTATTGCCAGCACACTTGTTTCGAGGTTGGACTTGGGTATGACGGAGATGATTGCTCGCCTGGTTGGGCGAACTTAGATTTCGAGGGCTACATCTGCCATGTGGCAGCGGACGAGGCTGGTGCATTCATCAAACTGAGCACCTCCCAGGGCTGCTCGACGGATTTCACCTACCAGTTGAATCCAGCGGTTTGGAAATCCGCTCCCGACGGCAGCATCACACAGACGTTGAGCTTCGACATCTTCCGCCCAGGCGTCCTTCTTCTTCGGGAATCACCGGCACAATGCAACCTGGCAACAATTGTGCAGTCGGCCGCCGAAGGACAAAGCCACTTCTACATGCTTGAGGAGCGCCTGGAGCTAGTGGAAAACACGGTGGAGAATCCATCTGCAACAGGATCCTCGTCCGGCAAGTGCCCCACTGTGTCCCGAAGCTTTCTAAACGAAGCCGGTTGCAAACTCCTCCCCGGTTGCTTGCCTCTCGGGCAGCAGAAGCTGTTGGTGCCTTTGACCATCACCAACTTGGCAGCGTTCTACTCAGTTGGTGGGCGCTACGTGTATGCTGTGACAGGCCTCAAAACCACCAAGCCACCCTGCGGTTCCATGTCTCGCTGGAAGCATCTCGTATGTGACCCTGTCTGTACTCCTTCAGACATCACCAATTCAAGTGCTGAAAAGATTCGAAACGCTCTGGAAGCAGAAGCTGATCAGGGACTCAGTCGTGACATTGAGGTTTCCTGCTCTGGCGTCCCCGCTGAAGCAGTGGTACAGGTGGGCAGCGAATTCTTTCAACATGTGCACGGTGATGAGAACAATGTCTATGACTTCACAGACTGGACCCTTCAGCACCCAGGTGGCGCAAGCAAAATCAAACAGTTCACCTCGAAGGGGTATCTACTAGTCTTCCCGAGTTGGCACCCAATGGACAGATGGGACACTGGCCTTGCAACGGAGGTCATCCGTCCCGGCTTTGTCGGGAAGCTGGGCTCCACTGTGCAGTTCCACAATCTCCCCCAACCGTTGCAAACGGAGGCCCTCGCAGCTGCCCTTGGAGCTGTCCCCGAAGAGCAGGAATTCTCAGAAGTTTGTGGCTCGCCAGGAGAGGTTTCAAACGATCCTGAAAGAGGCCATCACTTGTCCTTCAAGCACGGTGCACCAGATGATTATTACTTCGACAGTTCCTACGGCTTTTCGGGGGGCATAGATCGCTTGGCGAAGTCTGCCGTTTGGACCATGCAGAGTCTGCACGCAGATGATCAGCTGCGGCAGCGGGCCGCCTGGGCATTATCGCAGATCTTTGTGTGCTCCGTTCACGGTGGAGGCTATCGTGAAAGGGCGGAGTCCTGGCTTTCATACTATGATATATTCGTGCGGAATGCCTTCGGCAACTTTCGCGACATCATGCAGCAAGTGACCTACAATCCTATAATGGGGGACTATCTGACATTCAAGAGAAATCGGGCATGGGATTCGGTCGGCAGATTCCCAGATGAGAACTACGCACGCGAGATTATGCAGCGAGAGCCT